AAATCTCTCACTTCAAAATTGCCAAGTCTTTTAGGTGATGATAAGAATGTAAAATTCTTTAAACATAAAAATACAATCCAGTTTGTGTATAAAATTGTGTAGATATATAGTGTAATAGAAGACAACTTCCTTGTTATCTTTTTCCAATTTATAATATTCATAACATTATGCCGGCAACGCATCTGCGGTTCCTCTGGTATTGCTGATGTCCATGGGCGTCGTTGAACACCTCTGTGTTCCCGCTGCTCGTTTGCCCCCTTCTGTTATAAAAAAAAAAACATTTTATAATCTGTTTGAAAATGCTTTATATTGTACTTAAAGATCCCACTTGTGTTTTTACGTAACTAAAGAGATTTGTTTATAGTCATAGCACCACCATGTCGTTAATAGTGAGGGATCTTGAAACAACAATATTTGTTTGGTGCACAAATTAACCGGTGAAATAATACGGCCACACAGAAGACCAGTGTGAAGTGGAAGCATATCCACGTTTCGTCTTATAAGTGTGCGTGCTGAAGGCCAAATCTCTTCCAATCCTTCTCTTATAAGAAAACAATTGTAAGAGGAAGTGAATTTGGCGGAAAAGAGAACGCATAGAAAGGAGAAATATCCTTTTACTGTGCGTCCCCATAGTTGATTAAAGGCAACGCGTTTGCATTTGCCGATGACTATGGGTTGTTTTTGCTGTGCTATTTCGTAGAATTCAGATGGCCGCTTGCTCGTACCTTATAATATAGGGAAAAAAATATGTATGTGACTACAACAATAATATATCAGGTTTTAATATTTTTGCATCAACATAGGCCCTGACTTCGTCAATCGTCCGACACAATATTTATCATGAATTGACGCATGCTTAACCGGTTCGGGTAACATTCAAGGTTTAAAAACATAATTTCTAGTTATTTATTTAATTTTATTGTTAGTTCCAAGCCGTATGTGTGTAAAAATGACAAAAAAAATCAGTAAATATAAGTATTATAACTTTGAATTTAACAAAGATAATTATTAAAATACTCTTTCCACGAGCATAAATCCTAAGTGTTGCACGTAGAGGTGTTTTAGAGTATGATTGCAACCTAAATTTCCATCTTAACCTAAGTTTTCATATCGGTAATCAATTGTAATAAAATAGAAAGTACACAGTAAGAAATTATTAAATCACTGCTGTATCATAACTAGTTTACTACCAAGGTTGAGACGCAGTGTCCCGAAGTGGGACTCCGACATTAAAAGTCTCCACTTTCCCTGATTCCAGTCCAGGACCTGTAACTGCCGAAGATCTTTATCCGTCTCATTCATGCATTGATACCTGTGATGGCTAACTTGGTGCCGACCACTGGGTCGTCATCCATTCTCACTACCTAATGCATAAACCAATTTTAATATTCCTTTTTGTTACCAGCTCACATTAAAGAAGCGTTGGAAAACAACTGCGGTAAATGCACGGAGACCCAGAAATCTGGCAGCAGGAAAGTGATCGGTCATTTGATCAACAACGAGAAGGAGTACTGGGGCAAGTTGACCGCTAAATACGATCCTGAACGTAAATACGTCACCAAGTACGAGTCCGAACTACGCAAGATTGCCGCCTAATTCAACAGTTCCATCTGACAACATGTAAATATTTTCAAAAGTTCCCGTTGTTATTATTTCGATAAATAAAGCATTATAAAAAAGTTAAATTTCATTTTGTTTAATTGTAATTAAATCTATTATACATCTACTAACCTTACTATCGTACTAATGTTATAAATGCGAAGGTTTAGATATTTGGATGGAAGGATGAATGTTCGTGAAAAGGTATCTTCGGAACGGCTCCCCAGATCTCGCTTATTTTTGGCGTAGAACATAGTTTGGAAGAACACATAGGCTACTAAGTTTATTCATTCCGCGCGGACGGAGTCGCGGGCGACAGCTACTGTTATAAATATGTTACAAATATACTACTTAGGTATTTTCACCGTCAATATTCTTTGGATTTAAATTAAAAATATTCAAATTATTAGAAAAAAAATTTTAAAATTAATTTTGAGATCAAGTAAACTAAACGTGAAGTAGAAACGTAAAACACTATATCTGTAATATAATTTATTTTTATACAAACACCTTTTATTTTTTATTATCCTTTGAAATTTCCTTGTTGATGAGGAAACACTAAAACTTATCAACTATTTATACGTATATAATAATAATTATAGACAGAATATAGGTGAACAGCTTATAAAATCTATTTCATCAATATACATTGTAAACTCGTTTCGACAAATTTTAAGGAAGGCTGGTCTTCTATTAACTATATAATCAAAACATCCTTGTAATTTTGCTTTAGTATTTAAAGCAAACTACGAAGTGTTTCATCTAATATTTTATATTTATTTTTAAAGTGAGTATTTTGGTATTTTGCTTTTAGTCTTATGCTATTTAGAATCAATATTGATAGAAAAAAAACAGAATTATTTCAAAGTAAAAAAAATAATTATGTGATTTTCATAACGCAGAAATTTCTAAGCTTTTTTACTGTAGCCTCTCAAAATATTACTGCTTTTGGTGAACGCATGTTGCTAAATTACTTCTTTAAATAAACCCTCAACTTTATTTACTGGCATTGTATAAATACTCTGTGAATCTTCCTTGAACTCCAGTGTTCCATCTGTACCACTTTGGGAATCCCTGATTTAAAACGTAGAACAACTATAGACAATTTGGTGTTCATTGGGACATTGTTATTTTACAGAATGAAAGTACTAGTATGTTTCCTTCTCGCGTTAGTTATAATTGCACAAGCCCGATCAAATCGTAAATACACAAGTCGTTATGACAACATCGACTTGGATGATGTTCTGGCAAACCGGCGGTTGTTGGTGTCGTATATAAAATGTCTGCTCGACCTAGGCAAGTGTTCTAGTGAAGGCAAAGAACTAAAATGTAAGTATACATAATTCATAAGAAGTTTGTAAAATAGATAGCGTAGTATGTAATTTTAAATGGTTTTTTTTTTCTTTTGTAAAGTTATAGAAAAAAAATATTATGCATTACATTGATATTTTGATAAGTATAAGATTTACACGTTTTCAATCAACGCTCAAATCATATGAAATCTTGACAAAGTGACTCAAATCATTTCATTGTGAGTTTCTGAGACCAAAAATCCGTTTAAAACATATTGTTACTCCGTTTTCTCCGTTTCGGAATCAACGGCTAGTGAATAAAACACTTCGATGTGTGATTTGCTGATTCTTTATAATTTTCCATAACAAATTTTAAACGGGTTGCATCCATGGACGTGGTGACTTACGTAACTCGGGTCAACGTGTCATTTATCCATATACAGTATTAAATAATTGTTGTTTTAATTTTTTATCTACGGATGGAAAATAGTCTCTTTTATGACATGAGACAAATAGTCGGAAAATAAAAAATGTGTTTACCAAATTTCAATGTTATTTTGTTTTTCAGCGCATATTAATGATGCGTTAGAAGACAATTGCGCGCAATGCACAGATGTGCAGAAATCTGGCTTTAGACGGGTCATCGGACATTTGATAAACCACGAAAAGGATTATTGGGGCAAGCTCACTGCAAAGTACGATCCTGAAAGAAAATACGTTCTTAAATATGAAAGAGATTTACGGGAGATATCCGCTTAGTTATGTACTATTCTATTGTTTACTGTAGAAAATAAAAAACAAAAATTGACGTAAAAGTAAAGTGTTGCAAGTTGCAATATCAATGGAGATGTAAATGTGCACTCACAAATGGATTTTTATATATATTTTTATTCAGATTTCAAATTAATATTTATTATTATTGTATTGTATTTTAATAATTTGTATTTATTTGTTGAAATTAAAAATGTATAGAATAATTCGTTGCCACTATAATTTGTTTTTTTTTTGTTATAGTTGTAAGAAAATAATTAAATTAAATTGACTTTATTAAAAATAAATTAATTTCTACATTAGTTGTTTTTTTAAACACCATAGTTTGTTAAAATTATTAATCAATCATCTTCGTTACAAAGTAAATAAAGCATTATGTCAATTTTATGACAACATAGAAAAAGCGCGGTCTTCAATAATAAACCGGAAACAGAACCAATTGACCCTCTTTCCATTAGTAAAAAAAATCTTTTTAATTGATATCTTTTGTTAATTTAATTTTGTTTTGTTTTGGTTAATAAACTTTTTTCACATAATATAATTAGGTATCAATTTATAATAGTTATGTGTAATTTTTCTTAAATAAATGTAGGTAGTATAGAATATTCTGTATCCTCGTATTAGTGAAGTTGTGTCTCGTCGTGCGGATTTGTGAGCGATGGCGTTAGTCTTTTGTTATGTCGTAAATTAGTTTGTGATTTGAATTACGATATTTTAGAAAAAATGTTAAATACCTGACTACGTTTTAACGCTCAGTGTCGCGAAGTGAGTGTTAGTGTTGTTCGCAGTGGAAATATCGTTTACATCCAGTTTTTGACCTTGACTTAAGTGAGCTGCAATGGTACGAGCGTCGAGAGGGTAAGTCATTGTTAACAATTGTTACTGTAACTTAAATTGAAACATCCCGTACGAAAACATCTCATTGCAGTTTATTTCAAAGATGCTCATATGTTCGAATGATTCGGGATGAACAGCACCACACAGCGAAAAACGCATTATAACGTGTTAAAATGTGTTTGTCATTTAGTAACTTTTTCTTGGAATATTCTTAAGAACTGGCATGTTATAAAAAATGTAACAGATTTATTATTTTTGTTGTTGTATTGGCTGATAAGCTATTAACTTGGAAGTTCCACTGGTTTTTACGTTTGTTCAATTAGCTAGCTTGTGCGTCGTAAGCTAGTATTGAAACGGTACTTAATTATTGTTGTGATGTCACAGACTGGCGAACAATTTAAGCCAATATAAAAAGAAAAAATTGTATGTGCGTTATTTTTATGAAATGATAAAATATAATACGGTACTATTTTCCGAAGGTCAACCTCCGTATTTTTAAGTTGAGGTAAAGCTTTGAGTTTTTGGTAATCACTGTTTTTGTTTATGACGGTCGTTGTGACTGTGGGTTTAGACTGGAGTGAAACTTGTATTGCTACATATTGCTGTCTCTAGTATTCTAAAGGCAGAGTAAGGGACGACAATATTTTATACACCACAGTTTTATCAAAATCGAATTGCATTCATAAAAATTCAAATTCATCAAATATTACAAATAATAAACTAAGCACATCTCCCCGTTGAACCGAAACTCGTTTCGTTCACGTTAATAGAAACGGTATATGGTAAAATAGTGGCTATATAAAAACCTTGAATGTGTTTAAATTTAGTGTGCGACAAATCTCCGAGTGTTCCCATCACTTCATATCGGATATCATCAAAGTAAGTAATTTTTATTTTATATTAATTTCTTTAATATTTCTTCAACAATAAATAAACCTTTTGTTTTATTTTTTGGACTTTTAAAAATGTTTTTGTGGCCTAATGCCTACGAGGTCAATGCCCTCCGTAACATCGTATTTATAAAAGCAATTATAATTCTGTGTCTGTGATTTTAATGGTGTAATCAAGTACGTTTTATGCTTCTTTAGCTTCCTTATATGTGTTTTTTGTTTTAAAAATGTTAAAGTTTTTATTACTTGTGTTGGAACTATATGACGTCAGGTATGATTTTTAACTATCACGCACAATTCTAATTGTTTCCATAATTTTTTATAAGATGTATGTTTAAAGTGGACACGCAATTGCTTTTTGCCATCGATACCATACCAGATTTTTTCATGAAATTCTCCGGGCTTGCAAAATATAGTGGTAAAATAAAGGTAAAAAAAATCTAGATAAAGTATCAACCGCAAGAATATTAAAAATAAAAAAAAATTGTTACAGGATGAAATTGGTAATATTTTTGTTCGTGGTGTCCATTACCCTGACTGTAAATGCGCGGTCTAGTGGCAAATATACAGATCGGTATGACGGTATCAACGTCGGAGATGTTGTGTCAAACCGACGCCTGCTCGTGCCTTACCTGAAGTGTCTTCTCGAGCAAGGCAAGTGCTCGCCCGAAGGCAGAGAGTTAAAATGTAAGTGTACACTTTATTACAAAGTTAATTTCATCGAACTACACGCTGTCCATACCAAACATTTATATCTTACAAATAAATTAGATGCTAATATTTGGATGGATGGATGTTTGTTAGATGGTATCTCTAGAACAGCTGCAATAATCTCCCCGAAATTTGGCTTAGATGTAGAACATAGTCTGATAGGGGTAGAACATAGGCTACTAACTTTTACTTTAAATTCCTCGCGGACGGAGACGCGGTCGGCCGCTGTTTTAAGTATAAAGTTAAAGCAATTGAATAGCCATACCAAATAAATTATATCCACGTGATTCCACTACTAAAACACATGTTTCTTTGAATCAATATGTTTTATACTTGTGAGTTTTGCCGATGGAAATTTATAGTAAGGTAAAACGTTATACAAAAAATTATGTGTGTAAAAATATTTACATAGTTCAAACCTGACAGAAGATAAAATGATAGTGATAAACTAATAGCCTTCAACTTCGTCCGTGAGGATTTAAAAAAAAACTAGTAATAATTATAGCCTTATCACGGGATAGTGTAACTTCAGAACAGTACAATTTTTTAAATCGATTCAATAGTTTTGAAGTCTATTGAATGCAAACAAACAATCAAATCTTTTCTCATTGTAATATTAATATAAAAAAGATGAGAGATAAAATACAGATATTTCATCTGAATTGTCTTTTATGCACCTATGATATCACTCTAACCTGGGGTCATTGACCACACGATGACTCGATACAACATAAATAATATTTATGCAAATTAGTCGACTAGTAGAAGATAATCAATAAACGTGAGTTACACGATTTTACTTTACTTACGGTGTATTTCTGACACCAAATTTTCTGTATAAAATATATCGTCATCCCGCCCATAATCTTGGACAAAACATAGATAACAATATGTTTTAAACGGGCATTTCCATCTTAGAAACCAACGTTTACTGCTTATTTGAACATTCATGTTATTTTTTTGTATATCCCTTCAGTAAAGATCAGGTGTGGTGTTAATATTTGCGATTAGAGTACTATGTTTTTTTTTAAATTGAATAGCTCTTGAATCCGACCTCATGGTAATTGTGTTCTATAGCAAGCCAATAAAATAACGTCACAATATTTATTAGTCGGACATTATTATGGTTTTTAGTAATTGCAAATGTTGAACTATATTTTTAACATATATAGTAACATTGATTATAATTTTTTTTGTTTTCTATTTCAGCACACATAAGGGAAGCTTTAGAAAATTATTGTGCAAAGTGCACGGACACGCAACGCCGAGGTACACGCCTCGTTCTAGCCCACCTTATCAACAACGAGCCTTCATATTGGAAACAACTGACGGACAAATACGACCGGCAACATAAGTACGTCACGAAATATGAAGCTGAATTAAGAACCATAAAGACTTAAATAAATATTTATAAGGGAAACATTTTGTGGCGTTATTATTCGTTTCTAGATTTTAAAACCGTAGGAAAATTCCTGTTATATTCCAAATGTAGCGGAAAATCCTTTTTTTTTCGTACGCAATCATACAGTGAGCTTTTTCGCTTCATGTTAAGTATGTAAATATTTCAATGAAATTTTTTTTTTAAAGGTAAAGGTTTTGATTGTAGTAATGAGAGTTCTAATTAAACGGTTATATTTAAATAAAATACATGTTCTTTTTAACACACTTAAAATTATTTCTGTGGCATTTTTTATATTTACTTTTATTGCAGACACATTTATAAATATGTCAATAACTGCCTTTGGAGGTATAATAATAATATTATGTCATTCAAGTTACAAGATTCCGTATTTTCTGGCCTCGTCTTCGTATGTTTTCCTCCATTCGCCAGTTGAATCGTACTTTGTTGCGAGTTCATTCCAAATATCTGGTTCGTATTTGATCAAATGACGAATCATGGTTTCGGTGCCGGTTCTTTGTGCGTCCGTACACTTTTTACATCCTGTCTCGATTGCATCCTTTATATGATCTGGGGAAAAGGGAATTTCTTTAGTTAAACTAAGTTATACCAGTAGGCGGGGTCAAATTTTAAAATAGAATCATTTAGCATTTTGTTTTATATCATAAGGTGGCAAACGAGCGAGATGCCACCTGAAATCGCTGAAATAGTGAAATGACCGTTGCCCATTGACATACGCAATTGCATATGCGTTGCCTACCTTTAATCTACGGAGGAGAGGATGCACAGAAAGAAAATATCTTCCCTTTCCATGCATCCTCTCATCCGGAAACACTACACTTCCATTTACTATCCTTTCGTTATAAGAAAAAGGGTGGGAAGAAAAGACGACTAAATTAGGCCTCCGGGACGCAAAAGTATATACGGCACCAATAATTATTTTTTTTTAATTCCGCGCGGGTGAAGTCGTGGGAGACAGCTAGTTACATATTTTACCTTTAAGCACTTTTCCCTCCGGACTGCATTTTCCTTTTTCTAAAACACAATTCGCATATGACAGTAATATTCTTTTATTCTCCACGATTTCTTTAAGATTAATGTCGTCGTATTTATCAGTATATTGTGCAGCGAAGGAAGTTGCTACAACGCAAAGTATGAATACTTTAAACGTCATCTGAAAAAGAGATTGAAAAAGATAAAATATTATTTAATCGTTTTGGGTTCTTAATAAAATCAATTGTTTAATGTTTTTGTGCACTTACTGTTCACTTTAACTGATTGTCTTTATAAACAAATATTTATTTAAATAAATTAATCACAGATATTTTATATAATTAGTAAGCTGTTTACATTAAACTATGAATTTGAACTACGCCCGAATAGGGTGTGAAATTAAAACTCAAATGTTCGTGTTTATATAGTTCTCAAAAAAATAATTGTATATTTAATTTGCTTCCTATTTTTAATAACATATTTATAATGACTAATTACATTAATTAATGATATTTAGTTTATTTAAATTTTCATGGTTTATGGTTTTAGATTAAAGGTTATAGCGCTATATTAACTATAGGCTATATTCGCCTACAAGTTGAAGGTGGCGCTAGCTAAGCGACTGCGAAAGTAGGCCCGCTTGATTGTGAGGCGATCCGTGCGGTGCTGGTACGGTGCCCATGTTAGATTGGCATGGATTTGATAAGTGTACGATAACCTTAACGATCGCATACAAAATAATCACGAATAATATGATTAGTGAAATTATTTTTTTAATTAGTCTAACAATAAACTGTTCTCACATAATATTATTACTATTTTATCAACAGTCCTTCAAGCAACGATATAGTCTTCATTATTTTAGGAAAGACTAGTTGAATCCGATGATGTGTCGTGTGATTGACGTTTATCTACTTTAGTTTAGTAAGAACGTCATTGTGGCTCTTCTGTGTAGAAAAATGACCTTAAATATTATCCAAAATGACTATGGAACGGTCTTATGGAACGGAAAGGTGAGTTTCAATTTGCAATGCATAAAGCAGTATTTTTTATTATTATGTTTTGGAATTTGGACGAAAACTATTAAGTTGATGACTTGTGATTATATATGTAAATATAAATAAGTACTGGTTGCAAAACACGCAAAGTAACATTATGTGTACAAAATATATATTTTTTTAACCGACGATCCAATTTTATACATATGTATAGAATAGAAGTTTCACGTCAGCGTCCGAATTGTCCGTCGGTACGTTCCTTTATTTGTAGTTGTCTGGGTCTGGATATTAGATGTAGACTGATTGAATTTTAGTTATTTATTTCTATATACTCGTACTTCTCAATGTTAATTATATATTTAAGTTAGTTATTTATTATAATATATCCATGTATAAGTATACCCAGGCAAGGGAATATGATTAATCTCATTAAAAAACTGTTGATTTTACTTCCTAAACTTATAAATGCGTTAATTTAAATGGATGGAAGGATGGATATTTGTTAGAAGATATCTTCAGAATGGCTAAGTTTTCTTTTTAATTTAGCGCGGACAGAGTCACGGGTAACAGCTAGTAATTGATAAAAGCGTAAAAATTTATTCAATTTAAATTATAAAGTTGCTTATTAAAAACGTAGCATACAAATAAAACTTCCATTTTTTTTGTTCTCAGCAATAATGTATTTTTTATTTACGTAGGGCAAAGGATATTTCCGCCTTCTCCAAGTTAAGTAACTTTATGTTTAGGACGTTATTTAATTCAAGGTTTATTTATTGAAACATTTAAAGGTTGGTCTGTTATATTAAAAACTTTTTAAAGTTATTTTAATTTACACGTATTTTACAGTTGTATATTTCCACTAAATTTTAAAGCAATTTTTATCAAATATTGATCGGAGTAAGCGAGAGTCTAAGGGACTGCGATATTTTTTCGTTTGTTGAGTTTTCTCGCTTATCCAGGTCCAAATGTTCTCAAATTAATTAATTACTTTTAGACACTATTAGTTAGAATCCTTTGGCGCGAATGGCGCATTCAAAGTTAAGTGTCAGAATGATTAGTGAGGGGTGCCAGTACACCGGCACAGTGTCGGATTTTCTTCCTAACATTACTTAGCTTAATTTGATTAAACATGTGATTTATTAAATCACTTTTTAAAACAACGAATTCTGACAAGCTTAAAGTACGAAATCTTTTTCAATGAATTTTTTTGCTAATCAATTTACACATCTTGCTTTGCCATATTAAGTTAGGTAAATTGGGGAGGTGAAAAATTAAAGTATTTTTTTATTAATTATCCAAATTTATTTTGATAATAAATAAAGTAAAAGCTGGTTTAGAAAAATTCTTGCTGCTTTTTGGGATTTAATATCCATCTTAATGAAATTTAATGAGGGATAACGATGCCATGTTCTTTCGCGCGGTCCTCGTAAACCTTCCTCCATTTGCCTGTGGGATCGTATTTGTTGGCGAGCTGGTTCCAAATTTCAGGTTTCTTCCTGATCAGATGGTCAATCATGAAGTTGGTACCCTTTTTCTGGGCATCCGTACATTTTTCACAGCCGGTTTCAATGGCATCCTTCATGTGACCTGAAATCATATCAAGCAATGTTTAATTTGATTAACTGAGTTACATAGGCTATATGTTTTACTATTTTTTTTTAATTCAGCACGAAAATAGTCGCGGGTAAAAGCTAGTAATCAATAAACCTATTCTGTCACTTGCTGGATATGGTTGACGGATAACAGACTCCATTTTTAACGGTTTCAGGGTAGGTAACTAGGTAGGTAACTAGGGTCCGTGTATGGCTAACGCCATCTCAAAATCATCCGATAGCGACCACAGGATGCTATCGACACCAACTATACAGTCAACTGTAGTAATAATAAGTAAATAAATAGTAAATAAGTAGTAAAAATATATTTCCAAATTTACATACTTATATAAGCTGTTGGTTTCAAAAATAACTATGCGCATATTCATCAAGAATATGAACTCATGAACGAAAGAACAGAGACTGATCCGTGAATACATATTTTTAAAACCAAAAGCGTATGGAAGCTTCTGAAGTTTTTTAAATGTATACATAATTATACAGCTCACTGTACTACAGGCCCTTCACCCTTCAAAATGAATCTGTATTTAAGTTGCAAATGATAACGAGGTATTGGACATCACATTAAATTTAAAAGCCTTGATCAACTGTGAATTATGATATAAATTCGAAAAAATCTAAATCGTCCTAGAAAAATGAAACAAGTTTATCTTGAAATTTGAAACTAGTTTGCGAATATATGGTATTATATTTGAAGATATTTTTGTTTAAGTTTAAAAAAAAATTAAGTTCAAAAAAAAATATTACCTTTAAGTTCTTTTCCCTCAGGACTACATTTCCCTTTCTCCAGTAAGCAGTTGGCATACGCATCTAGCAGTCTATCGTTATCTGCAATTTCCTGTAGATCGATATTGTCATATTTGTCACTGTAACTTTCGGCTAGTGCCGCCGCCAAAACGCACATCAACACTAATGCTGCTTTTGACTTCATCTGGAAGAATTGTTTTATTATTTAATTGGTATAAAAATATTACTAGTTTACTGATTTAAATAATTGATTTTAAATTAGTGTATATCGTGATTATTATTAACTTACAATAATTTATTTTAATAAATGCAATGGAGCAACTTATTTGGATGCCATGTTGGCGTACCTTGAGTATTTATAGTAGTTTCGGACTAGTCCCAACCTTTTAATTCGCTACCCCCACCATTTGAGGCTTGTTCAACTCAACAATAATATACATAGGATGTGCTTTTCATATAGCTATGTCAAGTAACGAGTGGAATTTTATTATGTTACAACAATGACATTTTTTAACTTAACCTTGTAGCTTTTATATTTTCAGTAAACACCTTTTATACAACTTACTAAACACTAGTAGTGTTCTGTTTTTTTTATATGCATGTATTGTTGACACTGATGTAATTTTTGATTCTTGATTATTCTTAATCAAGAATTCGTCACCCCTAATTTAGGGTAGGCTCCATTGAATTGAATAAACAAACTTAATTAGTAGCATATGTGTTCTTCCAGACTTTGTTCTACATCCAAACCAAATTTCATGGACAACCGTTGAGCCGTTTTGGAGATACCTTCAAACAAACGTCCATCCATCCATCTATCCATCCATCTAAACATATACAATTATTTTATTTGTAAGATTATATTTTGAGTAACAAATAAGATTCAAACTTACTATCAACGCCTGTTGATAAAGTGAATAAACATTTTTGGTTATTTGCCATTCATTATGTAAAGGCGTTTAAATTTTTAACAGTAATTTAATATTTTAACGACTGAATATTCCGAACAATTACGTTTCTTCTAAGAATTTTAGATTTAAACGATTATTGTTATAAAATTTGCCAAGATTTTTCATATTGGTTCTTTAAAAAAAGTCTTACAAATATCTAGAACAAAAGAATGTTTAATGTATGTATTTCACTCACTTAAAATACATTTGTGTTGTATTTCTATGTTCACTTATATTAATTTATCTTCTTTTAAATTTGTAAGGGTTTATAGTAAATTTACAAAATGTTTGTTGTATAACCTATCTAGTATTATGATTTGAGTAAGGTTTCCTTCTAGGATTACTAGAATAAAAGTAAACACAGTAATTATAGGTATATATAATAGGTATACGTATCTATGTACGTATATACCTATTATATTACTGTGAGTTTACACAAGATATTTGTATAAAACAGATTGCTATACCTATAATTTTATTCGCCAAAAAAGGATAACAATATGTTATGTTTTAATACATGTGTTGGCAGTGGAATTTCACGGTTACGTTAAATACTTTAATCCGAGCGTTACTGGTGTCTGGAGATCATATCATCGAGGATAAAAATAAGATTCCATCCATACTCACCTTGTAACAAGGCTTTGGAAATCAGAGATAAAGAAATACGCCAAACCTTACTTTAAATCAAGATACAATTACTATAAAAGTTAGTTAAATCAAAATTGCGCAGTTGTAATTGAAATAAATAACAAGGCTAACCTCATGAAATGACAAGAATTTATAAGTCATCGTAATATAATTGTACTTTGCAAGTTTTCCCAAGACTCCATTGTTGTGTTGCGTATCAATTGTACTGTATTTGTGTGTCATTTATAATTTCTAGATGTTACTATTTCTTTGTCATAATCTACACCCACACAACCATAGAATTATTATAGACGATGTCCCTCATCTGCTCACTATACGTTCCCACTGAAGGGCTCGGAGCCTACCCTATGTTAGGGGTTTGGCCATAGTCAACCATGCGGGCCCAGTGCGGGTTGATTGAGACGATGGACTATTCATAAATAACTGTTGAATTTTTTTTCATTTGTGTATCGTTATAAAACTTTTTACGGCATATAGATAGCCACACAGAAGGCAGGAGTGAAGTTGAAGTATTTCGAGATTTACCTGATGAGTGTGCATGCTGAAGGTCTAATCTTAGTCCTTTTTTCTTACCTTTTCTTACAAGGAAATGATGAGAAAGGTAAATGGAATTGACAGAGGTAGGGACGCATATGAAGAGGAAATATTCCCTTTCAGTCGTCCATCAATTATTTAGACAGATGTCTATGGGCAAGGGTCACTTCGTTGTTTTGGCAAATTCAGGTGGTCGCTTGCTCCAGCTTGATAACCCCCTTCTTTTTAAAGTCGGTTAAAAATAATGCAATGATTATACTTGTATGAAAACCGAATGCCTGGGCATCTTTTCAAGCAAATACAATTTATATAATTAATTCTGCTGTGAATGGATTAAATGATTTACAAATAAGCGAAGAAATTACTCGAAAATATTGTCTTTATTACTTTAAATTAGCTTTACATGTGTTTCTTGCCCGATTCTCATTGCATTTAGTTTTCAGCAGCAAGGAAAGCTTCATATTTTTCTTTATACTCGTCCTTGGGGTCGTATTTTTTCTTCATTTCTTCCCAGGATTCCTTTTCATTAGCGCGAATGTATTTGACGACTTTCCTAGCTCCATTTTTCTGGAAGTCAGTGCATTTTGAACAGCTGTTTTGCATCCCATCTTTGATGTGAACTGTGATAAAAAATTAATATTAAGATTTGCTTATAGAAAATAACAAGGTTAGACTGAGGTAAGGGGGTATGGGACCGAGAAAGGTCGAGCTAGTTAATACAAAATAATGAATGTTTTTACTCTCTTTTTGTCCACAATATAAAGACACGAATGTATATATCAAATATACAGGTAAAGCCTAGCGCACACAACATCTATTGTGAGATTTTAAAATCTTACGGTAAATTATTATAGTTTATCAGAACATAAATTTATTTGCAATCGATGTTATAAATATAAATTGTGCTGTGGAGTTCTTTTCCAATTTTCTTGCATGTAATTGATAATAGTAATTGAAATTACATAAATAACATAAATTGGTATAAATAAAAGTTAACATAACTGTCTATGTAACTGCTTTATGTTATACAAATCCGAGAAATCTTATTAGAAGAGCTATAAAAATCAAAATAGGAATTAACTTACGTTTTAGTTCCTTCCCCTCTGGTGTGCAACGACCTTTATCCAAAATACACTTTATGTATGATGTAAGTAGTCTCTTGTTTGACAGAATTTCATCTATATTAATATTATCATATCTGTCTGTATACTGTTCGTTGGCGAAAGCAACAACAAACAGAGTAAGCAAAGAAAACAATAATAAAGAATTCATTATAGCTAGATACGGTTTTCTTGTATTTTTTCCTTTGTACTAATGTAATCTGAAGATAGATCTGCATTTATACCCTTAGTAAAGATAATTGTTGGTACTGATCAAGGCAATACAATGCAAAATCACGGAACTCTTCATTGTTATTGACACAATAACGAGTTATTGCTGTTTAGCATTTTTTTCTGTTTGGAAATATTAAAATTATTTAGATTTACAACAAGGAGTTACGATGATTCATTTTATGACTGACGCGTTCGCCTATGACTTTGCCAGCGTAAATTAAAAAAAAGTAACCCATAATATGCCTCCGTGCATAAGCTACCTTCCCATCAAAGCATTGTTAAAATCGACTCAGCCGTTCCGGAGATTACATTGATCTATTTATTTAAATCGGGTGAGGAAATACATATAAATCTCCGCCATTATTATCCTCTGTAGATTATAAAGAGATAGTCGTTCAAAAGACATCTACAAGCTAGTTTTTATAAGGTAGTTTTTATAAGAGCCTAAAGAATAACTAAGAAATAACCATTTAATCCTGCTTTTCGTTTATTTTACACCAGTCCCAAATCAGTGATGATGATGACAAAATAACTCTTCTAAAAAAAAATATGCAAATTAATTTTAATATGGACTTTAATGGTTTGTAAAATCTCAGATCGCTGCAGCAAATTACTTATGCAAAAAAATATAATATTTTATTACAAAAACAAGTTTAAATTGCGGTCAACCTTGTAAAATATTTAAAAAAGATCTTGAACACTTCAGTTATTGTTTTTCAGTGATTTTGCGACATGACTTTTCAAGAATTACAACTGATTTTTTAATAAAAAAATATGTAAAAATAAAGACAAACATTAAATAATATAAATTTAATTTTGAAAATAATCGAAAGTTATGCCCATTAAGAGTGCCGTTTCATAATAAGTTAAATATTTATTATTTTGTAGTAATCTATTGTGGGATTTTGATGCCTTTGGCCTTTGCTTTTTCTTCATACTCCTTCCTCCACTTGCCAGTTGGGTCATACTTAGCACATAATTCGTTCCAGATTTCTGGCTCATTTTTAATAAGGTGTTCGATCATCTCGTACGATCCTTCCTTTTGTTTTTCTGTACATTTCTCGCAACCAGTTTCAATAGCGTCCAGAAGGTTATCTGTAAGGTTTCTGTATTAGAACTTCGTACTACGTATTATTTTGTTACAAATCTTAACATATAAATCTTAAAGAAGCTACTTACCTCTTCGTGTTACCTAATTGTGAGTTAAGTTTTTTTTTACCTTTTCCATATAGTAATTAAAAAAGGAAATAAGGTAAAAAAAATTGAATAAAACTAAACGCCTAAAAAGCAACATATTTTTCTCTTTTTCCTAACTTTTTTTAAGCCTATACATACAACATACATTTTTGTTGTTTTGTATAAATGTAGAATCATACCTTTTAATGCTTTTCCCTCTGCAGTACATTTTCCTTTATCGAGGATGCAATCTACATAAGCTAACAGCAATCTCTTGTTCTCTTTAAATTCTTCCAAATCGATATTATCATATTTATCCGTGTAAGTTGGTTTCGCTACGACAGCCACTACCAGGCAGCACAAAATCATCAAATTCCTGGACACCATCTGGAAAACCAAATTCCTTCTAAAAATGACTGTTATCAAATTTCTTCTGTATGTGTTCCAACCAAGAATAATATAGCAATCAAACTTTGGCAGGGTGTTCCTCAAAGACTCTCAAAAATCTTTGGTTCGAAAACATTTAAATAATAAGGTGTTTTCTTTTGCTTAACCCTTAATTCGACGAAATTTTTTGTAGCAAAAAATACTGTTTTTTTTAGTAAAGTACGTTTACGTAATTTTCTCCAAACTAGTTCAGTAGATTTATTAAATTAGTTGTTCGTCACACTGGACACCGTCGAATTAAGGGTTAATTGGATCAATTTAGTAAAAGTTTCAAATGTTTAGATTTCAATTTGCACAGCATCGCATCCCAGATGGAACTAGTAATTATGACGATTAAAATCTATGAAACATTTTTTTTTTTAAATTTACTGGTATGTGAAAATTTCTAATACGTTGTTACCGAGGTTCCCTTTTGAAAAAAAATAACAATTCTTTTTTATTATTAAAAAATTCTATATTTTACGAATTTAAGATTTATTAATAAAATTAATGCTTACCTTAAAATTATTACAGTTGTGTAATGTATTCCAAAAGAGCGCCCTGATGTGTTATGAATTACAACACAATGCCGCGTCTTTATATACTTAGTTTCCTACGTCTTCCAAACATCTAATTTGCCCCTGGTTTGATCATTACCTTGCTTGTGACGAATGCAGTAAAAAAGCACAAATATACAGTATGTTTCATTTTTGTAATTTTTCAATATATTACATAATTCGAAATTCCTGATTAAATAACTGTTCACAATTACAGCGCATTAACTGGCTAAATAAAAAATATAGTTCAAAAATAAATATTCGTAAGATCTTTTTTGTATAGTAATATAATTTTGTATTATTGGAACTAAACATGTTCACCAAATTTAAGGTGTATCAACGAGAAATGGGTCCGACTTCAACTGCTTGTTATAACCAAAATAAACAGAGCAACTTAAATATAATTTTTTAATTTTAAACTTTATATACGTCTTTGTGTTAAGTTTAAATCCGTTTAAATTCAGCACCAATTCGAAACAAGGCTATCACCACCCATGTACCAATGTGTTTTTCGATTTTCGATTTACATATGTGCATTTATCCGACGATCTTACGGTGAAGAAAAACATCTTGATGCAACCTGCACATGTATACGAAGAAATTCAAAGATATGTGTGAAGTCAACCAACCCACACTGGGCCAGCGTGGTTGACTATGGCCTAATCACCCTTAACTTAGGGTAGGCTCCGAGCCCCTCGGTGGGGACGTATAGTTAGCTGTTGATGATGATATCACCACCCGCTGTATTTTTTACTGTGGCCTTGGTTATTACGTCTATTAAACTGTCTAGTCTACTCATGTGTGACATCACGAAAAACGAAAGACTGAATCTTAAAAAAAAATAAATCAAATTTATTGTTTTGTTAACCATTTCGAACATTTCGAGACCAAGTTAAGATAAATCCTTTCAGCCGTTCTCGAGTTTTAGCGAGACTAACAAACAGCAATTGATTTTTATATAAATAGATGATAATTTTTTAAAGGAAATTTTACTTTGCAATCAAACAATGTATCCGTGAGTTTCCACTGTCAAAATATCTGTACATAACATTCTATTTTCTTCAATGAGAATAAAAGGAATACTGTAATATTAATTCGTACAAGAGTTTCGGCTGTTAAAAAATCCTTCAATAACAAAAATATATTTATGTTGGCTCAGTTTTAGACATGAAAAGCGTCTCTCGTACTGTTATAGACTTGTCAAGTCATAAAAGTACAAAAAGGAATTAATATATAAAATACAAAAGAATTACAGTTATTTGTTACTTTTGTTTTTTAGGCTATACTATTTTGGTTGTTTTTAGGGTTCCGTACCTCAAAAGGATATTTTGTTATCCGATAGTCTGTCTGTCAAGACCCTTTTTCTCAGGATCTGCAGGTTTTTACGGAACCCTCGGGGCACGAGTCTGACTCGCAATTGACCAGTTTTTTTCTTTTCTGTTTGCCAGTGTGCGAATAAAGTTTGGTAATGTGCAATGTTAATTTAATTTCATTAAAATAGGTTCAGCAAACTTTATTAATTAAAAAAATACAGGAACAGATATATATATATATTACATTTTTTTGACGGACACTAGATGGTAATGTTTTTTGTGCCTGTGTAAGTTCTCATGCATGTAGGTAGGTACAATTTTTTTAATGAATGTGATTCCAATCGAATTTTTCCCCTGAATCTTCAGTCAGTGCCGTTTTTATGCAACAAATCGTGTTTATTCTACGAAAATTAGAGCGGCCATAGTTTAACAACATGAAATTACCATGATTCATTTTATGACTACCATCGTTCGCCTACGACTTTGCCAGCGTAGATAAAAAGTAGCCTATACTATGCCCGCGAACATCACCTACCTCCCGAACAAAGCCTTGCCAAAATCGGTTCTGCCGTTCCGGAAATTACATCGAAATAAATATTTAAACTGGGAAAGGAAATACATATAAATCTCCGCCATTGTTATCCTCTGTAGATTATCAAGAGATAGTCGTTCAAAAGAAATTAAAATACTCACTTTAGTACAAGCTAGGTAGGTTTTGTAAGATCCCAAAGAATAACTAAGAAATAAACCTTTAATCGTGCTTTTCGTTTTTTTACACCAATTAATCAAATTTACTTGGGAGTTGACAGTGGTGGGGACTTTGGTTCTCAACAAACAAAGTAATTCATAGACAAACAACTTAAATCGTCTACAGCAGCATTAAAGTGTGCCTATTTTGACAATTCATTTGGCAATTCACTAGATATGGGTTGATTAAAATCGATTCAGTTTTATTTCATTTTAGATGGTTGTTCTCATAGAACTTGGATTTTGAAGTTTCGTGATGATTGTTTTTGAATTGAAATATAAAAAAAAAAATTAAAAAATAAAAAACATTTTTTCTCCCTAATTTCATCTTCAAAACTACATAAAGAAATAAACACTTAACCAAAATTGAGATGTTGTCAAACAAAATGAAATGTTTTTAGTCGATTGTGCGAGACGTAGCCAAATATCTGTATGAAATTCAAAAAGTAATAAGATTCCTAGTTAACGTACTTATTTGTTCGATTACTATTATTACAAAACCGATTCTTGATAGTTTATAGTTATTCGTTATGCGTGTCCGGTCGACACTTGTCGGTCGTTAATCATCAATTAAGTACAACATTAATCTTCATACAAAATTAATTAGATACTTCATAGGTGACAACTGGTAACGAATCTATTTTAATTAGCACACTATATCGTACAATATTGTACAAAAAGTTCCTTTGTGCTTTTTTTAAGGAAATTGGATAAAGTTTTCCATATATATATATATATTGCCAGCATTATTTCTGTATAACTGTGTTTTGTATAAATTTGTTCAGTTTTTTTTATGGCAATAACAAAAAAAATTTCACGCAAATGACTTTTACCCAAACAAACAACATGCGGAGGCTGTTTTTCGCCTGACTTTTGTGTTGCGGATTATCTAGCTGTAGGTATATTTGTGTAGCAGAAAATGAATTTGTTTTTGGCGTAATAAAACAATTTAATTTGATTGATATAATAAATTTATTTCCAAGAAAACTGTCAATATAAGAATACATAGTTAATTCACGGGATTTTGATTAGGTTTAGTTTACTGAATTTATTTTCAAAACTGTCAAAGTGAAAAAAAGGATATACGGTAAAATCATGGGATTTTGATTCCTTTGGCCTTTGCTTCTTCTTCGTAATGCTTCCTCCATTTGCCGTCGGGGTCAAACTTGGCGCAAAGTTCCTCCCAGAGATTTCTCTTATTTTCTATGAGGTATCGGATAACATAGTTAGTTCCCTCCTTTTGTTTCTCAGTACATTCCTTGCAGCCGTTTTCGATAGCTTCTTTTAAATGTTCTAAAAATATTAAAACATTACATACAAACATACAGTAAATTTTTAATATTTTAAAACTCAAACAATACAAAAGTAATTCCCCCATAGAAGTTAACTTAGTTAATTTAAAAACCTGATATTTTACCAACCTTTTAGTTCCTTTGCTTCTGCAGTACATCTACCCCTATCCAATATACAATCTGCATACTTGTTTAATAATTTTTCATTACTTACTACTTCTTCATAGTTGATGTTATCATATTTATTAGTGTACGTACACCACACCGATGCAACCACACAAAGTAAAATGATCAAACTCTTGGACGCCATCTGCAAATCAGAATATTAAGAATTAACTTAATTGAATTACATAAGTCAAAAATTTGTATCATGTGTATATCCATATGGTCTCTAAGGCCATAAAAATCAGCAACCATAGTACACGTAAAATATTTTGAAATATTTCAAACCTAGTAGTAACATAATGTGATCACATTACAAATAGACAAAAATATTAGCGATTTTTTTTAATACAACAAAAGTGGGTATAAACTGGCAATTGTACCCAAAAGTTAATTGGTAATCTAACTCGAACCCAGAGTGATGAGAGTACAAGACACATCCTCGGAAATCTGGCTAGTGAGAAGAACATTATGGGACAAGTAAAAGCTCAAAGACACCGTCGGACAGGCTCTCTGATCAGGATGGATGACGATTGGGAGAGTTTCTTGTAAGTCCGATTTTTTTCCAACATATCAGCACAGATACACAGTATTTTAGGGTCGCTGTGCCAACGAAGCAGGACTTATCTTTGAAGTCTTTTTAAAAGCAATGACTATAATTATAAAGGAAGGCTATATAAAAAGTAGAAAAAGCTGTTGTCGATTTAGATGTGTTGGAATCGCGTCAAGCCAATCCGCAAAATTTGCCTCAGGGTCGTGACACTGACCGTAGAGTTAGTTATATTTATGATTATTATAAATGCTTAATGTGTTAGTTAAAATTTTACTCACCGCTTAGAAAACAATTAAACAACAATTTCATAAGAAGCACTGATGTGTTATGAACTGCCCAGAAATGCTCCGACTATATATACTGTTTAATTTGATGTCTTGGTATTTTGTTTGGCCGTTGTTTTTACGTAGCTTCACATACGTAAAAAGTAAAAACAATGAATATAACTTGTTGCCGCTTCTTAACATGTCTGCATAATTTTATTGCGGAAAAAACGTTGTTAGAGTTATTAAGATGATCGTCTTGATAGCTGATAAAATAATTAATGACGTAAGAATTTTTGCATTATTTATTTATTTGAAATTGACTCGGGATTTATGGGACTCTAACTATCCCTAGACTTTCATTCGGTTTACCTTCACTAATTTCTAGATATATACAAATTCTTTTATAATATTATAATTATTCGAATCCTGTTATAAACATCCATATATATATTATTGCCCGTGATTTCATTAGCTTGGAATTATAAAATTTCTTACAAACTTTAATTCCTTACTTTTTGAGCACGAATTTTTAAAATACCAGTAATACGTATTTATGTACCCAATAAAAAGGTATTGAGTTTTTTTGGATCATTTGCATGTGATTTTTATATAAATCAATAAATTTTGGTAATAAAAAAAACTTTTACATCCTACTTTAGACCTTTTGGAAATGTATTTAGCTAATTTTTTTTTTAATTTTGTATTACAAAAAAATTTCAAATAGGGACATATATCCAAAATTGCAAATCTCTAAGCATAGTGGTTCGTGTTGCGTGTTGATATGTCTGTAAGTCGGTTTTTTTTATAACAAAAGTAGTCTTGAATGCACCTTATTATAATTCTATATTGGAGTAGAACAAATATTTAAATATTTTATTTATCTTTTTTTATTAAAATAATCATTGATTTGAATTTTTATTAAAGAAAAATGTTCTCTCTGTAATTTGGATTATTCATTCATTTTTAATTATCGTAAATACCTTGAACGTTAGCGGAGAACGTTATAAATTGTATTTTTTGTTTCATTAACAATTTTCATACTTACCGCGAACAAACAATATTTGTTTTTCATCATATTTCGTCTATTACACAAAAAAAAACAATGAATCACATGCAACTTGCTAACTGGTAACGATTTTTAAAATGGTATAATGTACGTCAGTCATACGCATTAAGTATTAAAAGTATTTACAAAAATATTCCACAATGTCCTGGTTTTCCCTATACCTTACATCTTGCTCTTGTTTGTGCTCTTAATATGGTTGTTGGCCGTATCTTATTGTTCAATCATCATTTATTAAGCGCTTTTGTATGAGGGCAATTTACCATCTATTTATACTAGCTGTCGCTCTCCGTCCGTGCGGAAATAAAAAAAAAAGGTCTTGACAGACAGACGGACGGACAACAAAGTAATCCTATAAGGGTTCCGTTTTTTTCCTATGAAGTACGGAATCCTTAAAAAGTAGCCTATGTATATTCCATGCAGACGTTCTGGAGATAACATCCATCCATCCAAACATTCGTATTTATAATATTAGTAAGAAGTAAGATAATAAAGTTTTTAAGGACTCCTGCAATCATATCAAGGGTCTTATACCTTATTTTAGTTCTCTTACCCTTCCCATCCTTATAAGAAATGGATAGCTTAGGAATAGGTGGTGGATATTACTGAAGTGTCGATGCATAAGAAGAAGAAATATCCTCTTTCTGTGAGTTCCCCCCTGTCGCCTGTGCAAATGCAGATGCCTTTGGACAACGGTCACTTCTCCATTTTGGTGAATTCAAGATGTATTTTAGTAGTGGAAAGTCACCGTAACAAGAACAAAATTGGATTTGGAAGTTTTATTATTTTGTGTCGTTACTTTGTTTATCTTTATTAAACTAACTGTCGCCCAAGACTCCGTCCGCGCGGAATTAAATCTATGCCAAATTTAAGCAACAACCGTTCAGCCGTTCTGTAGATATCTTTAAGCAAACACACATATAAACATTCGCACTTATAATATTAGTAAGTTCAAAATCCATTAAGATGCTACTTATTTCGTGTATGTAGCGAGATCCATCAAACTTAATAATTTTAACCTTCCAATGTCTTCATAAATTTCAATGAACGTCTTATGGTGTAGATAATGTTTTTCGGATGGCTTGTAATGGTTAATCACATTTTAATGTTAATAATTTTTTTTTTACTAATTTGCCTATGTCGAATTATAATTTTTGTATTGTATTTAACGCTGGTAGTCCGAATATATGAATACTTTTTATTTTTTAAATCTTCTAATTATTGTTACCCAAATTAAATTGTACATTAATTAAAAGTAAGAGCTTACCATTTTTTTTTTTTTTTTATAATTTAAATCATTCGAAAATTGCTTTTAAACCAAAACTGCATTGAAATTAAAAACCACCAAATTTAGAAAAAAAACACTACAGAACCATGTTTTTTTGTGTTTTACTTTAAACAAAGTAATATACATTAAATTATTTTAATGATTTGCAGTAAGATAAACTTTTTTCTGATGTTATCTCATTACCTCTAACAATTTTATTTCCACTTAATAATTACTCAAGGTCACAATGTCACTGAGTAAAGAACACTTTTCAATCTTTTAAAATAAGTAATTGCATTAACTTACTTATTCATATACTTGTTGTCGCCCGCGACTCCGTTCGATTCGCGAATGTATGCCAAATTTCACCGAGATCCGTTCAGCCTTTCTGGAGATACCTTCAAACAAACTATTCATCCTTCCATCTAAACATTCGCATTTATAATATTATAATAGTAAGATTTAATTTAACGTTTTCACTAAGAACGATACAATTTTATGTAAGGAAAGTCCTTTGCTCCTTACACTTGCTTGCTTTATACTAGTTAAGGAGACAAGGCCACATTGAATTTTGTAAAATTAGCCTGTAATTATAAAGATTTTATTTTTCCATACTTCAAAACTGGTTTTGACAGATATTTAACTAATTATTCATATTTTAAATAGATTTCAACAATTTGCTTATTAAATGCGAAGGTTTCGTTGGTTTAGTTTAAAATTTGTTTTTCTAAAATTACACATAACGGTAAGTTTCCATATGTAATAAGAATTGTATTGCAACAATATTGTCCTCTCATTTGCTATAAAATATACTATTAAATTGAAGTCCCCAATTACATTGTGGACTCATTAGAAGTATGTGAAAATTATCCTCACTTGAGATCAGCAACAAACAAAACAAAAACATTAAACGCAAAAGCGATAAAATCATTTATCTTGCTAATATAAATGCGAATGTTTGGATGGATGAATGTTTGTTAGAAGGTATCTTCAGAACGTCTACAAGATTTTGCTGAAATTTGGCATGGATGTAGAATATAATCTGGAAGAATACTGAGGCTATTAATTAGGTATTCATATATCCGCGCGGAACGAGTCGCGGTTGGCAGCTAATAAGATATATTTTAACGTCGAATTAGGGAAACACCGCGGTCAAGGATTGATGCCAAGCAAGCATAAAGTCTATGTAGGTATTTTATGATTCAACTGTAAGTGTGAATAAAAAAACCTTCATTTCTTTAACTGACCGTAAGATTATCAACAATGTTACAAGTCTGTCGCCTTCAAAGGACTTTAATCTTTGATACATTACAGTAAAATACACATTTTGTTTATTCTTGATTAGTTGTCACCCACGACTCCGTCCGCGCGAAATTAAGAAAAAAAATAGTAGCCTATGTGTTCTTCCAGAATATTTTCTACATCTATGCCAAATTTCATTTTGATCTATGCAGCCGTTCTGGATACCTTGTAACAAACATCAATCCGTCCAAACATTCGCCTGTATAATATTAGTAAGATAAAGAATATACATATAATAAAAATAACGTCGCTTTTAACAGTGGTAGAGCCCGCTTTAACATCTTCGCACGAATCGGCCCGGCTCGCCCGGTGAAATACCACGACCACACAGAAGACAGGCGTGAAGTGGAAGCAATTCCGCGTTTCGTCTGATGAGTGTGCGTCCCGGAGGCCAAAATTAGTCCTCTTTCCCTTCCTATCCTATTTCTTATAAGGAAAGAATGGGAAGTGGAAGTGGACTTTCAGGATGAGAGGATGCATGGAAAGGGAAAATATTTTATTTCTGTGCATCCTTTCCTCCGTCGATTATAGGTAGGCGACGCATATGCAATGGCGTATGTCTATGGGCAACGATCACTTCGCTATTTCAGCGATTTCAGGTGGCCGCTCGCTCGTTTGCCACCTTGTGATATAAAAAAAAAAATAATGTAGGTAATATATTCATGAAATACAAATTGAATAATTTTACAAATTATTTATAGAATATATAAGCAAATTATTATTTAAAAGACTTTGAATTTTGTGCAGGCGAACGAGTAATGAAATGATTGGTGTTCGAAATAAAAATATCCGCGCTTTTCAATGAAACTATTCACTGCTTTATAATTAAAAAAAAATGAACACGCGTCCAAAATTGATAATACATACAAATAATACACTTTAAATATGTATTGCTTCAAAGACATTTAATTGTAGACTTTAATAATAAAAATGAAGCAAAGATTTCAATGTTTCTATAATTAATTGTTTAGTAATAAAACTATTATCGGATTAAACTTCGTCGCCTTCCTACACGATTGTTAATTGCGTAATTACAAAACAAACGGCGTGCAACTTCTCAGCAACTATTAATATTCAATGAACAACTATAAGAACCAATATATCATTGTAAGCGCATAATTGTTCTTTATTTGTTTGTTTCAAATACTCACTTACAGTTTTTATTAAACGTTACGATACGTTACGACAGTGCCTGATGTTTGAGGCTCGAAAATTAAATAAAACTGTTTACTAACAGCTTACAGTTTACACATCTTTGTCTAAAAATATAACCATCTAATATAAAAATTTCAAACAGGTTCTGTTCGTTTTAATAACACTGATGTTATTCTAGACTAGATAAGAAGTCTTCTAATTGAACAGCTACGACTACCTCTGTTGATAAAAAGGCTATGTTCATTCAAAGAAATCAAACGTGTGCGAAAGGTGTATGATGCACATTATAAGGGATTTGAAACTTCTAAATTATAGAACAATACGTTCAAGGAGTAGTACAGTATCAAGAAGTTGAAGACCAAGTCAATACTAAAAGCTTTAAATTAGTTAGGAACATAATTAATCGATGAAATATCTAGAAAAGTATATTGGGAAACCCCGTGACGTAGATAGAAAACCTTGAATTAGTTACATTGAAATAAAAAAAAGGCAAACATGATTTTAAATCAAAAAACCGGAACGCAGCGCAACCGCCGCATTATGTGATGGAATAATTTTTATTCTTGTTTTTTATCCCCCTCAGTAATATTCCGCTGTACGTTGGGACTGAGAGACTAACGAACTTAATACTTAATAATCCATTTGTTATTTTTTGTGGAAAAAAATATTTTTTATAACTTAGTTCAAACGACACTCTTGAGATTGAAAGTGGATGACAACAAAGAGTAGGGGAAGACCGAGGAAAGTATAGATGGGTTGTGAATCCATATATGACAGCTGATAAAACATTATGGAATATAACATACTGTGCTGGAATTCTAATGGCTAATGACGAGTTTAAATAACTCATGCTCTTCCAATTTTTTAGTTAGTATGCGCTATATTAAGTTGATAAGAGGAAAATATTCATGTGCAAGGAAACTAGCATCTTTTCCTACAACCTTGACCCTAGATTATCTAGGCTATCTGGTTGTTGTGGACACTACTACAATTCCTTATGTATATGTAACAAAGTTGTTTTTGACATCTATGGAATAATTATTTTTTCAATGTCCTTATGATTTATTTTAATAATAATGCCTAGCAACAAGTTTTTAAATTTATATTAGTTCATTAACCCACTGCGAGGATTATGAGGCAGGTGTGTTAACATTTATTTAAATACTAGCTGTCGTCCGCGCAGTATTACAAAAAACTTCATTAGTAGTCTATGTGTTCTTCCAAGCTATGTTTTACATCTATGCTAAATTTCAGGGAGATCGATCCACCCGTCCTGGAGATACATTCAAACAAACATCCATGCATCCACCTATCCATTCTTAAGTAACATAAGTATGTTACTTAAGAATTAAATAATGCGAACCATTGCTTTTGCGATTTCAAGAAGAAAGCAAACTTTTATAACCTAGGTCTACTAAGTACTTATCAGAAGCAACCATCATGTAAGCTCCCTCCTAAAATACTCAAAGTGATGAATTTAGGATTGTTTTAGACAAAGTACTTTACATGAAGAATTGGGCTTTTAGATAATTGAAGCTCCCGTTACTACGTCGTACTGTGTACTACTTCTTGGAGACAAGTAAATAGTGATAAAGTTTCAATTAAAATTTATTGAATTTGTTGCTTGTGTCTAGTAATGAGTCATATTTTAGATGCAGTAAAATTTCCATACTCGCCTTGCCGGCGGTCGACCGCCCTTGTATCTAATATGTACCTGTTTTGTTCAAATTACGATCGCAACTTGCACACACAAATGTATTAGTCATAAAAAGTCATCAAGAGATTAAACTAAAAAGACGTCTCTGAGTTTTTTGTAATCTGTTAATATCAAGTTTGATAACTTTCGGTTCGAACCAAATAATATAATTATAATTTTTATAACGTCTTATAAACTTAAAAAAAATAATACGTTCATGAACAAGTTGCTCTTTCAAAACTAAACAACTGCTTATTAAAAATGGCACAAAAAGAATGCTGAGATTGTGTACATATAATTAGTTAATTTCTAGCATCCTTATACACAGTAACCATTATTGTTTGTTTATTTCCTACTACAAAAAGCGAACGATACTTAACAAAAAAATTGTTACTTAAGCTCATCGATATAAAAATATTTTGTATTATGTATTCAATATAATAATCACTATACTTATGTTCGTCATAGCAAACTACACAATATACATACTCTAATTAAAATTGCAGCAAATATTACATCTGTAGTTGTCGCGCCTGTAACAATCCATTAGCAATAAGTTGCGATGCTACATTAAAAATTGTAGGCGCAGTATTAAAATATGGAATAAGTTTTAAAAGAACTTGTAGAACTACTAAGGAATCATCTGTTGTTAGTTCCGACTTTACTATGGGTAATTTTTCTATTAACCTAGTAGATTAATTAAAAATGATTCTACTTGTACACTTACAAATGTGTACAACTGATGTTTTGTTAATTCACAATACTTAAATTATGATTTAGATTAGCCGAGCTGTAATCTGCACCAAGTTTACCATATTTCGGATACGATCTCATTTTACCCTTCACAATTAAATTAAATACAATTTTTGTATTTTTAAGTTTGTATTAAAATTATAGCGAGAATTTCGTATTCCAGATTGTTTTTCTTTAATAAGCCGACGAATAGAATGTTAAGTATAAATACCAAATCCATTGCAACCCCTTAATAGCTGACAGATTTTGAAGTACCAACTTTCGATTCATATCCTTCCTTGGAGTTTCTTGAATGAACAACTTTGAAATAACATAAACTGTCGAGCCTTTAATTCGTTAAGATATTGTTCATTGTGGAAGTTTAGAGGAAAAATCTAGCTTACTTCCGTACACAACGCTATTGTCCGATCAGTTTTATCTGTCGATCGCTAGGACGTGTAATTATTAACGCGTCAATGGGCGACGCAACACCCAGTAGCAATCTTGTGAATGCAGTATAAATGTCCCATAGCAAAGGCTCGATAGTCATAAACCTTTCGAAGACTCAACAGCACTAACGAAGGGATTTTATTAAATGTAAGTACCCAAGAATTACTCTTATTGTTATTTGTTTGTAAAACTTATTAATATTGTTTTATTAAATTTAATAATCTATCATTATTTTATGATTAAATCGTCATGATATTTGAATACATAAAATTTACGAATAGTTTATTAAAAAAAAATAATATTAAAAATATCTATAGTAGTCTAGTGCTTAAATTTCTATAGATATTTTGAAAACCTTAGTACTGTAATCATATTGAAATTTATCCTTTCTTGGTGATTTTTATGTACTGAAACGTAATCAAAAATGAAAACAATATTGAATTAAATTCGACAATATGAGTAACATTAAATTAATTTATATTTGAATTATCAGTATCAGTTTTATAGTTTATAAAGCTATTCAAATTTATATGTCGGCTTGTTACTTCTTATTTCTAATTATTTTAAAATAATAATGTTCTAAATTCTTAATCTTAAAATGTATTATATACGAACAGACACTAGACATGATATGTTTTGAGAAACAGAGCGTTCATGTTTAAGTAGAGTTCATTAAAACGTATATATTGGAAATATAATGCGACATAAATATTTATTGCTAAAATAACGTAAATTGCTTTGAAGGTAAACATAGCATCGATGTAAGAGCGAAACTCCTCGATTGAATACTCCCTACCATACCACAATGCAGCGATTATATCAGATATAACAATAAAACAATAGACAATACCTAATTAAAATTTCAACGTGCAAATACAATTTAAAACATGCAAGGAAACGATTGTTTAGCAATCTTATATTTTTTGTAATTAACAATTAATTTAAAAAATTATGATGCAAAATTAATATAAAACAAATATATTTGATTTAATGTTTCTTATTACTTGGTTTGGTTTTTCGTTATATCTTTTCTTGATTTATAAGTTGGATTTTCGACACACTTTAGATTTGTCATAACAGAGCATCATATTACTTAATTATACAATATGGTCACAAGCTAATGTTCTCCAGTAGGTTATGCATGTAAAGTAAAATCCTTCATACTTATAATAATTATAAATATATGTGGCATTAGTTTTGTTCATTCAATTCTATCTATTTCAAACTAGTAGCCTATATGTTTATCCAGACTATGTTCTACACCAATGCCAAATTTTAACGAGATCTGCAGCCTGGAAATACCTTCTAACAAACATGCATCCATCCATCCAAACATTGCCATTTATAACTTTAGTAAGTTTTTATGTTAGTAAGATATATTTTATTCTACGTATCACTTGCAGATTAAAAATGAAATTGTTCATGGTGTGTGCGTTACTTTGTGTGGCGGCAGTTGCGTGGGGCAAGCCGGCGTCAACTTACACTGATAAATGGGATTACATCAACGTCGACGAGATCTTAGAATCTCAACGTCTGCTCAAAGGATATGTCGACTGTCTTATGGATAGAGGCCGTTGTACCGCCGATGGAAAGACATTAAAGGAAACGATGCCCGATGCGCTAGAACACGAATGTTCTAAATGCACAGAGAAACAAAAGGAAAGCTCCGACAAAGTGATCAGATTTTTGATCAACAAACGTCCCGAGCTGTGGAAGGAACTGGCTACTAAATACGATCCCGATAACGTTTACCAACAGAGATACAAGGACAAGATTGAGGCTGTCAAAGAACACTAAAGCCTCAGATATGGAGGTTAATAGAAATGTGAACGTTAATATTGTTTAATTCTGAAATTTTATAAATTATTTATGGTAAATGTATATATTCATTGGTAATTTTAATAAAATATTTATACTAATTTATGTTGTATTATTATTTATGAATTAGGAAAGGTAACTGCTATGACAGAAAAGAAATCAGACTCATACGCTTTATCGATGCCTTGCGAAATCGAGGCCTCTAGTTACATAATGAAAAAAAAGTTATTTTTATGTATGCTTCAGTTTAATCAATATTTTAAGTTTGAAAAATTAGATAATATAGACATTTTGTGTGTTGTGGAATTGAAACTAATTCTAAGCTATTAAAGATGCGTTGTAATGCGATGTAAAAAAGTGAATTTATAACCTTATTGGTTTAAAACTGTCACATTATAATAACCAATTCCATCCATTGCCGTAGTTAAATTATTCCTTTTTATAAATATCATCTGAACTGTTTAGTCGTCTTGTCCAATAAATTGATAGAAGCCATCTCTGTATTTATTCTCTGGGTCATATTTATCGATAAGATACGTCCAAGCATCCGGATACTTCTTCATTACGGTTCTTATAACGTGTCTTATTACTTCTCTTTGTCTGTCTGAACATTTCCCGCAAGCTGTTTGTAACGCTGTTGGTATATCATCTGAAATTTTATCAAATAGTATTAATGTAAGCTATAATACTTTAAAAGGAGGCTCTCCGGGAGTTGTTAGTTAAAAGACTCCTAGTTTGTACTAATGTTATCTAGTTTACGTCTGATAAGTGACTGTCTTTACAACTTTTTTGTACCTTTTCTATCTACCCTTGATAGTTACGTATCTAGGATGTGGAAATAAGTCTTTGATCCAACGATCCACTTCTCCTTTGCCTATTGATAGGATTCCTAAAAAAAAATATCTGAACTCACTTTCTGCCAGAAAAGTTCTGGGTTCATCAAGTAAGGAATTAAGTAGAGATTTCTTACTTTTAAATGCTTTCATTTCAGGCGAGCAAGGTGTGGTGTCACCGAAACAGTTTATGAGACTTAATATAATGTCATCATTTTGCAACGCAGTTTGTATGTCGAAAGCGTCATATCGTTGTTTGGTGGCATCACCTTGTACCAAGGCGATTGTAGAGGCTAAGATCATAAGGATAAGCTTCATATTGATATATTCTGAAATTATAGTTAAGTTTAAAAAGAATAACACCGAGACATACGAAGCATAGCATTACATGCAAATCATATTCGGGTCACAAATCAAAAGGTGAGAAAGCACAACAAAAGAAATTAAAAATAACGCACAGGATTAAGAAAACCAGATTTTAAACTTACGAAACGGTTTGCAGACTTGTAGGTTCTTCACTGAGACAGTATCATGTTAATTTCTTATATAAAGTACAATTTCAAAGTCATACGATGATTGCTCACCAAACTCGATCAGAAATTGCTATGTTTGTGTATGTAATTATTTATTATACTAAATGACTTAATTGAATAAGAACTGTGGTATCGTTGAAGGTAGTTTCACAGTGCGCGAGCAAGATAAGTACAGTCAGCGTCATATAGATCGTAACAGACAAGATATGCAAATATATAGGTACACCAAAAGTAATCAATTATATCGGTACAACAAAAGTCCTCAAATTAATAGATACATTCACCCTGCTCAA